TCCCGAGGAGTCCCAGCTGATCGGGAGGGAATGGGGATTTTGCAGTATCCTTCCCCTGCCACGCCCACCAAGCCACGCCCACAGGGTCGGTAGTAACAAATGCTGAATCCCACCACTGCTGCAGTTGTTAAGTGAATCACTGCAGTTGTTAAATCAGTAGCAAGGTTGCTAAGTGAATCTGGCTTCCCCGTGGATTTGGCCTGTCTGGAAGTCACAAAAGGGGATCGCGTGACTCTGCAACCGTCATAGGTTCATGCCAGTTGCCCAGCTTCTGAATCTGGGCCATGTGACCCTGGGGAGGCCGCGCTGGGCGAAGTCTGGCCATCCGTCTCCCTGTTTCCGGGGGCCCTGGGACTCTGCATTGCTGCCTGTCAGCCTGAGGGGGGAGTTTCCGGCTGGTTTGGGGGGCAGAGCAGGACCCCACTCACCTCCACAGCGAGGGAGGCGATGAAGGCGACCAGCAGGAGCCCCAGCAGCCAGACCCTCCAGAGGGTGGGGGTGCAGACCAGCTGTGGGTGGGAGAGAGGGCAGGGGTCAGGGGGGAGAGAAATGGGGGGGCTGCATCTTGCTCCCACCCACCCACCCACCCTTCAGGCCTGGCTAAAGACTGACCAGCCTCTGCTCCCTCCCTTCACCCCCCCTGCAATGGGGCAGCCCAGCCTTCTCAGGGGGGTCCGTCTCTCCCAACCTGGAGCCCCTCCCCCCCAATGGGCTGGACCAACTCCCAAGACTTTTCCCCATTGCGGATGAAAGCTGAGCCACGGTTGCTGTGAGCCTCCACATCCACCCTGCAGCTCCGTCTGGAGGGGGCACCAGAGGATCCCCCCCCCTTCCAGGCCTTCAGCTGAACCTTCTGCCATGCGCTGGAGCTCAGAAGGGGCTCCCCAGACGTCCTGCCCTGGGGTTCAGCACAAGGCCAGCCCCACCTTGGCCAGGCTGAGAAGTGGGTCTCTGAGATGGGCCCCCTCCAGGCTCCTGTGGCCAGGCCTCCCCTGCCCCCCCCCCAGCCCCCAGCCCTGCTTACGTCCATCTGGGCATAGAGTCCCTCGATGTTGGCAAAGAGGAAGAAGAGGCAGGCCGCCAGCTGCGCCATCAGGACTGCCACAAAGACATCTGGGGGGGGCAAAAAAGTGGCAAAGCCCAGCTAACATCCAGTGGGGTCCTATGGTCCCTCNCACGTTGCAGTAGTCACTTCCCCTGAGAGCTGGTGGCCCCAGAGAGGCCCCAGGAGCCCCACCCAATAGGGGAAGGGGGCCTTTCTGGCAGGAGAAACGCTTGCAGTGAACCATCAGGAGGAGACAGAGGCCCTTAAGGATGGGGAAGGAGGCAGGAAGATCCAAGGAGGGAGGGGCTGGCGGAGGAGCTGCCCACACTTGACCCCCTGGCAGCCTCAGGGATCTGGAGGGCGAGGAAGGTTGTCCTGGGGGCACCCGGAGCATCTGCGACCCCTAGTAGCTTTGGGGAGAAAGGGAGCTCCTTTGGCCCAGGGCTGCCCAGTGGAAGCTTCTGGAGCAAGCCCACCCACACCGCCATCCAGGAAGGGGAGCATCCTTGTGCCTTAAGAGGGAAGACCCCGAGGGGACCCTCCCTACATCTCCTCCCCTCTCCTTTGGCACCATCCCTCCAACAGGGCAGGTGGATTCACTGCCCCCCCAGTCCTTTCCAGGCTCCCACTGGCCTTCCCTGCCCCCTCCTGCCTCTCACTGCTGACCCCCCCCCTCCCATAGGCATCTCCCGGCTGCCCTCTGCTGCCCCCAAGACCCACAGGGCAGGTGCGGGAGAGCATCCAGGGCTGCCAGCGGAGACCCTTCCTCAGCAGTTGTGGCAGGGCTGCTCGTGGCTCACAAAGGCCGGATTGGTGTAGGTGGGGCCCGGCCCTTCGAGGGGGACAGCCGTGCAGCCCGAGAAGTCCGTCCTGTTGCTGGGGGGCCACGCAGGGTCCTGCCGCAGGGTCCGCTGGAGCTGCTTGTAGCGGCTGCTGGACTGGTAGCCCACGGCCCTCTTCAGCCACCGCCAGAGCGCCCGGTTCTCTATCAGCCACTCCTGGAGGGGGGAGGGGGAGGTCAGGGAGGGGGCAGAGTCAGGGGGCAAAGTCTCCCCACCACCACCACCCCTCTGGATTGGCAGTCCTGGAGGCAGAGCAGGCAGCCAGAAGCCAAGGCTGCCTGTGGGACAGGAGGGTCTGGGGGGCCCCTCAGGAGAGGAACTGCAGGACGGCTAGTCCTTGACTTATAAGCCCAACATCTCCACTGCTATGCAAACCAGTTGCTAAGTGAGTCACGCCCCTTTTTGCAACTTTTCTTGCTATNGCCAATCTGCCACTCGGAGCTCCGTTGCACCTGTGCATGGACTTCCATGCCCATAACGCCTGGGCAGGAGGGAGAGGCCTCCGGCAGCTCCTCTCAGGAGGGGCCTGGGGCTTGGATACAAATGGATAATCTTCCTCCACCCCCCCACCCCCTCCCCCAGTTAAAAAGTCCAAGGGAAGATTTGAGGAGGAGAACTTTGGAAAAACTTCAGAGAAGAGCAACTAAGGGGATTAAAGGCCTGGAGACTAAAACAGAGGAAGAACGGCTGGAGGATTTGGGTCCGGCCGCTCTAGAGAAAAGAAGGACCAGGGGGGGACATGATATCTTCCAGTGTTTGAGGGGCTGCCACAAAGAAGAGGAGGGGCTCCCCCTATTCTCCAAAGCACCAGAAGGCAGGACAAGAAACAATGGATGGAAACTAATCAAGGACAGAAGCAACCTGGAATTGAGGAGGAACTTCCTGACAGTGAAGACAATAACCAGTGGAACAGCTGGCCACCAGATGTTGTGGGTGCTTCATCGCTGGAGGTTTTTAAAAAGAGACTGGACAGTCACTTATCTGAAATAGTATAGACTCTTCTGCTTGAGCAGGGGGTGGACTAGAAGACCTCCAAGGTCCCTTCCAGCTCAATTCTGTTCTGTTCTCTATTCTATCCTATCCTATTCTGTTCTATTATTCTGTTATGTTCTGTTCTAATTCTATTCTAATTTTATTCTGTTATTCTGTTCTATTCTAATTCTCTACTCTATTTTCTATTCTGTTTTCTATTGTCTTCTCTTTTCTATTCTGAGAGAGAGAGAGAGAGAGAGAGAGGGAGGGAGGGAGGGAGGGAGGGAGAGGGAAATGGGGGGGGGCTTATTGGCTGACCTCCCCTGAACCAGGTCACAGCTGAAGGACGTCGAAAGTCCAAGACAGGTGGACTTCCACAATTCCCCAGGGGGTTAAGTGGGTTCTCCCTGAGGTTTATTCATCCTGGAGTCACAGGGGTTGAGTTGATCCCATACAGTAATGTTGATCACATCTCACCAGTAAGGAGCAGCCCCAACTTACTCAACCCAGAACAGGATCCTGGTAGTTAACCCTGAGTCACCCAGGCTGGGATGGCATCTGTGTGGACAGAGACCTCGCCACCCCTCACCCCTTCCCGCTTCTTCCCACAATGGGCAGACTCTCCCCCGCCCGGGGGTTGGGGACAGAGGGGCCTCCCCCCCCCATCAAGCCCTCCTCCCCTTCTCCAAGCGTCCTCCTGCATGGCCCTGGGCCACTCGGGGTGGAATCCCCCTCCAGAAGTAAAGAGTGACAGGAAAGCAGAGTTGGGAGGGGCCTTGGAGGTCTTCTAGTCCAACCCTTTGCTCAAGCAGGAGACTTTAGAGCTTTTGCCTGTCCAGTCTCTTCTTGGCATATAAATTTAATAAATTGAATTGAAATTGAATTGGGGGGGTGGAGCATCCACAGCCTCTGAGGACGATGGGTTGATTGTCCTCATGGTCAGGAAATGTCTCCTTAGTGCCAGGTGGCTTCCCTGCCCATCCAAGGCGTCTCTTCTCCTGCCTTCTGGAGAAGAAGTGGAGAGTAGGCCTTCCTTTCATCTGGCATCCATCCCCTAAAGGCTGCGCCTGGGGACTANAGTCCCTCGATGTTGGCAAAGAGGAAGAAGAGGCAGGCCGCCAGCTGCGCCATCAGGACTGCCACAAAGACATCTGGGGGGGGCAAAAAAGTGGCAAAGCCCAGCTAACATCCAGTGGGGTCCTATGGTCCCTCAGCCCCCCTCCCTCCCCCCCTCCCTCCCTCCCTCCCTCCGTCCCTGGGGCCGCTTACAGTTTCTGTAGAGGGGCTCCCGGAAGGGCCTCCCCTTGGAGAAGACCACGGCCACCGTCAGGCAGTAGAGGGTGCAGAGGAGCCAGACGCTGGTGTTCTCGTAGCTCTGGAAGCCCTGCCGGGGCAGGGGGGCTTGGGGGCCGTGAGTGGCGTTCCCAGGGGAGCAGGCGCTGGAAGGAAGCGGGGAGGGGGGACCCCAATTGTTTATTGTGCCTTTATGTATTAGTTTACGTTAGGAGACAGAATCCTAGGACTGGAAGGGAGCTGGGAGCAGCCCTCTGCTCAAGGCAGGAGACGTTACACCGTCCAAGTCCAATCGATCCCTAGAAAGGCATTCTCGGCCTTTCCCCTTGGCCGTTGAGCTTAATGCATTTATGCTTTTAGGCCTTTGAGGGCTGCCCAGGGCCCCTCTGGGGAGTGAGGCCGGGGAGGCAGGTGGGGGGGATACAAACTGAAATCAGTGGGGAGCAGGGGGTCCCTTGTGCTTCGAAAGAGGCCTCCGTCTTAGCCAGCGCAGCCTGTGCTCCAGCACCCCTCACTCCATGGGGGGGAGGGGGGTCTCCACGCTCTGGGGCCGGGGGGGGGGCGCCTACCTGTGGATGTCGCTGGCCGAGTACCAGAGCTGCTGCTGCACCAGGAGGAACCCGCTCAGCTGCACCGCCAGGCTGAGGAGCAGGTTCAGCACCACGGAGAGCAGCAGCGGAGGGGCGATCAGCTGCGTGGGGGGGCGATAGGGCGCCAGGCTGGGGTGGGGCCCGTTCAGGCTCACTGCAAGAGAGGGCACCAGGGGTGGGGGGGCTAGATGGGGCAGCCCCACACGGAGCCCCAACCCAGGGCTTTGGGAAGGCGGCTGGCACAGCAGGCGGCAGACGGAGCCTGAGGGAAGCCTGGCGCTTCAGGCCTCTCCCTTGACAGGGAGGGCATCCGTTCCCATAGGAGGCGAAGGGTGCCAGCCCTTCTCGTGGCATGGGAGCACCCTGGCAGTCGGAAGGGGGCAGGGCTGGAGGGTCTCCCTTGAAGGAGGCCAGCTTTGCCCAGGGTGGGTGGGGTCCCCCTTGAGGCCTGTTGCCTGGCAGAGCGGAGGTGGCCCATCCATGCAGTCCCAGCCCTCCTGCCCATCCCCAGCTCTGTGCAGGGTGGGTGGGGGGTCTTCCTTGGTCTTCCTGGAAGGCCTCAACAAGCTTCCCAGCCAGGAAGGCCCCCTCCACCCCTGGGGGCCTTGGGGGCAGCTTACTTGTCATCCCGATGAGGGTGGTGATGGCCAAGTCTTGGAAGAGGAACTGGTAATTCCCAAAGGAGTTGAGTTGCTGAAAGCCAGAAGCAGAAGGGCAGCTCTTGAGGGGGGAGGGTCTCTCCTCCCCAGCCCCAGGCCTTCTGGCAGAGGGAGAGGGAAAGAGGAGGGGGCTTCGGCTTCCCCGCAGCCGGCTCATTGCAGGAGTTTCCTGGGTCAGACTCTGAGCCTCTCCAGCCACCTTCCCTTGCCAGTCCCTTAAGCCCCCTCCCCTCAGGGCTGTTGGGAGGGGGGCCCACTCTCAGTCACGGAGAGAGGGGCCATTGGAAAGGAAGGGGGGGCCCAGAAGAGCCCTCTGGCCCAGGTCTGGGGACCTACAGGGCAGCCCTCTCCCAAGGCTGGCCCTGGTCAGGAAGACCCATCCCTGCAGCGCCCCCTCCCCATTCCAGTCCCAGCCGAGGAAAAGGGCCCCCTACCCAGTAGAGCAGGAGGACCCCGATGTAGCTGGCCAGGCTGAAGAGGGCCATGTACTTGAACATGCAGAAGGAGGTGACCAGGGCTGCCCTGCCGTGCCTGGAGGGGGGAGAGGGGGGGAGCATTAGAGAGGATGACCCTAAACCCTCCCCCCCCCGGAGGAGCAGAGGTGGCCCTTTCTGCCACATGTTCCCCCCTCCCCCCTGCAGAGACCCTCTGTGCTGCTCAGGGATGTTCGGGGGGGGGGGAGGCACTGGCTGGAGGCTCCTTTCCCACCTTCAGCAAGTGAGGCCTCCAACTTTCTCTGCCCCCCACCCCCGAGAGGAAGCCCAGCCTGCGTTGGATAAAGGGGACTCGCCCCCTCCTCTGCATCAGGGAGGGGGGTTCACAGGGAGCTGAGCTCCACCAAAGGAGCCCCCCCTCCAGCTATGAGGTTTCCCTCTTTGCAAAACCTGCCCCTCCCCATTGGGTGAGCCCAAAGCCCCCCACACCCCGATGAGCCCTGGGAACATGGGCCCCGCATGAGGCGGGTCCCCCAGCCAGGGCCCCCCTGGCCTCCCCCCTTCCCTGCCCACCTGATCAGCTCCGGCACACACTCAATGGTGGGGACCTGGGAGGTGAAGGGGGAAGCCACCGAGGCCGCCTGCTGGGAGAGGGAGATCCCAGCGTGGGCCTCCTTCAGGGCCTGCAAGGGGAGAAGCCGGACTCAGAGCCAGGCCGGGTCATCTGGCGGGCCGCCTGGGAGCTCTTCCAAAGAGGGGTGGGGAATTCCTGCTGGCTCGGCCGAGAGGATTCAGTGCCAGCCTCACCCAGGAGCCTCTCCAGTTCTTGTGAAGATGCCCAGCAGCCCCTCAATGCCTGGTGAAGGAGCCCAGCACCCTTGCCTTGGCCCTCACCCTGGGCGTGGCAGTGGCAGGGGAGAGCCAGCCCTCGTTCCCTGATTCTGCCCCTGCCCATCGGCCAGGGAGACTCCTGCCCCCCTGCCCAACAGCCTTGCAAGACTCACCCCACAGTCGTTGGCCCCGTCTCCACACATGCCCACGTAGTAGCTGGAAGAGAGAAGGCAGCGCCCAGCCCCCTCCGTGAGTCCCGGGCAGCCCAGCCCAGCCCTGCCCAACTGCCTTTCGGGGGTCCCGGGGCCCCTCACTCACTCAAGCTGCTGGAACTGTTGCACCAGGTGGGCCTTCTGGGCCGGAGACATCCGGGCAAAGACCGTCCCGTTCAGCAGCAGCTGCAGGAGAGAGACAGCCGAGGCTTGAGGTGGGGGCGGGAGACCCCCGGGGGGAGGAGGGGGCCTGGAACGGCTTCTCCTCTGCGCTCACCTGTGGCAGGAGGTGCCCGAAGTGCTGGCTGAGGACCTCGTAGGAGCCCCCACTCAGGCAGAAGTGCCAGCCAAGGTCCCCGGCGGGTGGAGGGTCTCCCCCAGGTGCCAGAAGGCCCCCCTGAAAGGAGAAACGGGGTGTGGGGGGAGGGGGCAAAGCACAGGAGGGCCCATGGGAGGATCTCAGTTGCATCTGTTCACGCCAGGACCCTCGGCCTCTGGAGGGAGGGGGAGGAGCCCCCCAGACAGGAGGTTTTCCTTATGGACATGGATCCACACATCATTCCCTTCCTGACAGGTGGGAATCTGAGGGCGTCTCTTTCCCTGTGTTCCCCTCCCTCCCTCCCTCCCTCCCTCCCTCCCGCACTGCCGTCTAGCAGACCCCGAAGTCCGTCAGCCGTTCCTATTTGCTCTGGGTCCTGGTTTTGATGCCCAGAGGGCACATCCCGAGGGGGCCTGGAGGCCTCTGAGGGGGTTGCCCAGCACCCCATGCCCCTCTGCCTCCCCTCCGCCAGGCCGCTCACCTCTGGGCCACTGCCGGGCTCCTCCAGCTCTTCCCAGCTGACAGAGGCCGAGGGCTGCCCTGGCCAGGCCCTCGCTTCCACCAGAACCACCCGGCTGCCCTGGGGGATCATGCCCGCGTTCCTGGCAACGGTGATCGCCGTCTGAAGGTTGTCGCCTGGGGAGATGAGAGGGGTTGCATTGCAACTGAGCCCGGGGAGCCCCCTGCCGGAGCCCACAACCCACTCTGAGCCTCGACTTCAGTTGGCGAAGCAGGGCAGGAGGGTGAGGGGGGCCCTTGGGGGTCAGAGGGCGGCCTGTCTCCACCCCCCCTTTCCTTGCAGAGAAGGGGAGGCCTCTGGCGGTCCCCGGGGCGACTCTTTCCTACCCCAAACCTTCCCTCGGCCATTGCAACATCCCCCATGCAACTTCCTTGGCCGCCGGGCAGTCATGGAGGAAGGGGAGCATGGGATATGTGGTGATAAAGGACAAAAGCCGCAAGGGGGCCCTGGCAGAACCATCCCTGCTTGAGGGGTCCGTTTTTCCGGCTGGTTGGAAGACCCGACGTGACCCACCCCAGCCGCCCTGACTCACAGGCGGAGCTCCTGCCGAGGAAGCTGGGTGCTGGGTGGGCCGTCTCCCTGTGGCACAGCCGGGGGCTTCTCCTGCTCCCAGCTGCCTGGCCAAAGAGCCCGACTCACCGGTGACCATCACGCTCCGGAGGCCGGCCTGGCTGAGCTCCTGCAGGACCGGCCTGGACTGGCTCTTCAGGCGGTTCTCCATGACCAGCAGTCCCAGGAAGGTCAGGCCGGACTCCAGCTCCTCCCTGGCCACAAGAGAGAGGGTCCTTCTGCCCAGGAGAGCTCGGGAGCCCCCTCCCCCCCACCGGCCTCCTGGCTGGGAGCAGCCCTGTCTCCCCCAGGGCCACCAGAGTCCAGAGGAGGCCGCTCGACCTCAGGGGGCTGCGGAGGGACCCCCCCCTCCCCTCTGGGCTGCTTGTTTCCCTCCCCCAGCCGAAGAAGGGGGAGCTGCACGCCAACCCTGGTTGGGAAGCCAGGCAGGGCAGGGCGACCTCTCTCCAGCCTCCCCTGGGCCTCCCCGGCAGGCGGCCCCCTCCCTCCCTCCTGCCCGTCTGCTGGGGCCCCCAGACCCTCACCTGGTCATGGAGGCAGCCAGCCTTCCTTCCTGCAAGCGTTTGTGTGCCAAGGCAATGACTCGGAAGCCCTGGGAAGTGCAGCCCTGGAGTTCCCGGGCAAAGCTGGGGGGCACTGGGGGAGGGGGGAGAGTTAGGCCATGGGAGGAACAACTGGCCTTGCGAGGAAGACCCCGTGTCCAAGACAAGGCAAGGAGCAGGCCCTAAACCCTCCCCCCTCCCCCTTTGGACCTTCACAGGGGGTCCCACCAAGGAAGCCCCCCAACCCATCTCCTCCAGAGCTCAGAGCTCCTTCTCCTGCCCACTGCCAGGCTGCAGCAGAGCCTCAGCATAACCAGCCAGCAGAGTTGGAAGGGACCTTGGAGGTCCTCTAGTCCAGCCCCCTGCTCAAGCAGGAGACTCCGAGCCACTCAGGAGAAATGGACGTCCAGCCTCTTCTTGAAAGCCTCCAGGGATGAAGCTTCCGCAACCTCCGGCAGGAAGCCCTTCAGGAGATTCCTCCTTAGTTCCTGGTCGCTTCTCCCCTTGATTAGTTTCCATCCATTGCTCCTTGTCCTGCCCTCGGGGGCTTTGGAGAACGATATGACCACCCTCTTCTTTGGGGCAGCCCCTCAGCCCCTATTGGAAGGCTGCCATTATGCCTCCCCTCTGCAGGGTCCAGCCCAGCCAGGCACAGTGGACAGGAGGTGGTGCAGGGCAATGCCAACTGAGGGCTCACCTGTCTCCGGCTGGCAGAAACTGGCCACCATCTCCGGGGCGCCCTTCATGAAGACCTGGCCGTCCCCAGGGGCCTCCTGGGCCACCACCGTCATCCGCTGCAGGGCTGAAGAAAAGGGGAACTGCCGAAGGACGGCCAGGCCCTTCACGGGCACCTGGGGGGGGGGGAGGCAGAGAGGCTCAGCTGCCAGGCCCAGGAAGGAGGGAGGGAGGGAGGGGGGCATTTCCCTGCACTGTCCGTGTAATGCAGAAGGGCACTGAGAGATTGACAGGTCAGTGGAACCAATCTGGCACCTCTTCAGCAGGCTGTCTGAACCGAATAGGATGGCACCAAGTCACGTGACCCAGCCCCAAATCACCTCATCCCAGCTCCCCAGTGGCGCTTCTCACTCTGCCCCCTGGCAGCCACTGGAGTAACCACTGTCCCTACTCAGGCATGGGAGCCGGACGGAGCCTTTGGCCCCTCTCCCCTTGCTGAAGGGAGACCTCGCGGGGGTGGCAGTGGGCCTGGGGACAAAGCCACCCGGCTGGCAGGAGGCCTCTGCTTGTGTCCAAGAGCACCAGGGGAGGGACCCAAGCGAAGGCCACGAACTCGCTCGCTCCCCCACTTGGACCACAAGCAAGGCGAGGGTCCTGGGTTGGTCCAGAGCTGCAGTTGGCCTCCCTTGAAGGAGCCAAGAGGGAGCCGGTGCCAGGGTGAGGTTTCCTGGCAGTGGGCAGGATCAGGCCGAAGGATGCCCAGGCTCCATCCCTGGGCACTGCCAGAGGCCCACTGATCCTTCTCTGGAGGCCAGTTTGGAGAGATTCATGAGCAAAGGCAGGACGGGAGGGAAGAGGGTCCCTTCTCTGCCAAGGGCTGGACACGGGAACCAGGCACTGACCTCTGCCGCTTCAGGTCCTGGGCTGACCACCAGGACGTCAGCCGGGCTTCCTTCCCAACCGACGGACTCCACAAGTTCCTGCAGGTTCCAACAGGAGGAAAAGTGACATTGGGCCCCACAACGTCCACCGGAAAAGGGGATGCGATGACGTTGAAAAGGGGGCTAGCAAGGAACGGACTCAAAGGCCAAGGGATGGAAAGAATGCGTGACTGCCGTGGGCACAGGGCAGGGGTGGGCAACCGTGGCCCCTTCGACTGCCAGAATTCCCCAGCCAGCCGAAGGAGACGCATCCTGACATTGTCAACATGCAGATGAGGCAACGATGGGATTCGTGCCATTTGAGTGATGCCAACACCACCTATGTGGCCAGGTGCCCCCCCCCTCGAACTAATGGGGAAGCCAGCGGCATCTTTGGTGGCCTGCCAGGGCTTGGGGGGACAGACCAGGAGTGGCACCCCAATGATGTCATCGGGAAGCAGCCCACAGACCAGGCTCCCCCCTCAGTTCTCACAGCCAGACCTCCTGCAGGTTCCGCATCAGGGGACCCCGACAGGACCAGCCCCAGTTTTAGGCCAATTCCAAAAGAAGAAGATGGAGCTTCACCCAGTGAGTTGCCTCGAACATCTTGAGGTCCAGTGGGTCCCCCTGAATCTTCCCATCCAGGACCATCAAGGAATGGCAGCAGGCCATGGCCGCATATGCCGGGCCCCAAGGCATTGGGGGTCCAGAAGAGAAGCGATGGACCTCCTGGAAGCTGCGGTTGAGAGAAGAAGCCACCTCAGATGTCCCACAGAGGCAAGAAACCAACCACCCTGGAAGGGAGGCTCAGTTGCCCGGAGTTTGGAGCTTCTGAGTCCTCCTGGAAATTAGGTTCAACTCTTGCTATTCTTCTGCACAGCCCTCCCCCCCCCCCTTCTGCTTTGCAAGTATTGCTGGGACCTCATTGGGATCCCCCTGGAGGGTCAGTGGCTCCCTGGAGCCCCTCCGGGAGGCAGGGAAGCCTTGTAGACACCTGAGGGGACACAGCAAAAACCCTCCTGCTTTTAGCAAGGGGAAATTCTGGCTCTGGAGCCTGCCTGAAGATCCCCCTTCTGGAAGACGCAGGTCTTATTATGATGATGGGGTTTCACACAACGGAATTTCGGGGGTGCAAGACAGATGCTCCCGATTCAGGCTTGACATCATGCGCATCTCAGTCCATATTTTGGGCCGTAACGCTGTTTGCCAATGTTTGCCCCTGTCTGGGGTGATTTGGGGCTTTCCAGCCCCAGTAGGTGGTAACCCCGTCACCCATTCAAGTGCTAACCAGGCCCGACCCCGCTTAGCTTCCCTCTCGGATAAGATTACTCAAAGTCGTTGTCCTTCTTTGAGGAGGTCTGGGATTCTCAGGGATTCCTGGGGCAGCCGGGTTCCAACATCTGCTAGGCCAGATGACTGCAACTTACGACCATTCTTTTGTCTGAAGTGACGATAGCCCTGGAAAAGCTGTTTGCTTGGGTCCCCTGGCCTAAACTCCAGCATCCGGCCTGCATTGACGACAGTTGCAGGCCCCCCCCCCGCCCCCAGGTTCACCTGACCAGCGCTTGGGACCCTCTCGGGGGGCTCCTGACAAACAGCAAAGTCAGTGGGGGGAAAATTGGTTTCACTTAACAACCACTGCAAAAAAGGGATTTAAAATTGGACGCGACTCCTGCGGAGGTAACCTGGAGACCTGGGGCCAGGATTTCCCTCCCTAAGTGATGGGATTGTTCCTTTGTCTCACTTAGCCAGGGAAATCCTGGCCCCAACGGTGGTCATAAGTCGAGGACTGCCTCCGTGCTCCACTTCTCAAAAGCAGCAGTTAGTGGAAAAGTTTAAAATCCAGAGCCGGGTACCTCTTTCCTTGGGCCAAGACGATGCCCCACAGGTCCAGCCCGTCTTCCGTGAGGGTGCCCGTCTGCAGGTGGGTCCACGGGTGCCACAGGGATCAAGGCCAGGGCAGAAGAAGGGAATCGGAATCAGAAGAGGGCCGGAAGGGAGCTCGGAAGGGGGGGCAGGGGCAGGAAGCAGGGCAAAGGAGGGGGTGCTTCAAACCCCCCTGGGGGCCCCCTGGGCTTCCTTGGGGGTTCAGGGTCTCCAGGCCACAGGTCTGACCTCGTGGAGAAGACAAAGGAGGTCCTCAGTTTATGACTGTGAGCCCAGGAAGCCCCACTTGGGGGAGGCACCCAGGAGCCATTAGCCCAACGGGGGCAGGAGAAGCATGTGGGGAGGCTTGGAGGGCTTGTGGGGAAACTCAGACTGGCTCCCCCCCTTCCCAACTCTACCCCTGGGGCAGAAAGGGGGGGAGGGAAGACTTGCAAGCCTTCCTCCTCCCCCCAAATGTCTCTCCTCTTCCTCTGGGCTCAGTTTCCCCCTCTGTCTCCCTGTGAATGGCTGGCAGGTCTCACTGGTTGGGTGTGATGGGAACTGTAGTTCAGCAGCCCAGACTGGAAGCCGAAGCTCAAATCCTTCGACCATCAAGAGAGAAGAGGGGATTCCTTGGAGGAGGAGACCCTCATCTTGGGAAAGATGGAAGGCAGAAGCAGAGGCAGAGGAGGAGAGGCATCGATAGGGGCACGGACACAATCTAGAGGAGTTTGGGCATGCCCCGGGAGTCAGTGGAGGATGGGGGCAGGATATGGTGTGCTGTGGATCATGGGGTCGTGAGGAGTCCGACACAACTTAGCAACTGAAGAACCAAAGCTACTTCCAGGAGGAGAAGCCCCCATCGAAACACTCCCGATCAAAACCAGCCCCCTGAGGACTTACTGGGACCCCTTGGGGATGATACATTTACTATCGCATCACTTAACTCCAAACAGCCCTCATGAAGACTTAAAACATAATTCCCTAAAAGGGTCACATTGAAGTGGCTGACAGGTTATTTTTTTAAGACATTTAAGAAATTCTTTAACACTTGGCAGAAAACTCTGGTCTTCACTTCAGCTTTCACTCTTCAAGGGGTACAGAGGGACAACTGGTGCATAATCTGGGGTCCTCCTGGATTCTTGGCTCCTGCCCAAGGATAGTGGGCAGCTCTGGCCAGGAGGGGCTTCGTGCAGATTGTTCTTAGGCCCCCTTTGGGTCCATTCCTGACCTGGGCTGTCTGCTCACCATCAATCACACTTTATTGCAGTGCTCTCTACATGGGGCTGCCCTTGAAGACTGCTCAGAAGCTGGGCACAGAATGTGGCAATCTGTGCAGCCTTGAGTCGTAGTGTGCCATACTGTCATAGTCTGCCATGCAAGACCATTGTGGCGCTCCTGGAGGGAGGGAGGGAGGGGTTCAAGCTGCTGATTACCCTCTGCTACTCTTCATGGCATGGATTCAGGTTACCTGTGGGGCCGCCGACCCCAGCCCCCAGGTCACCTGCCACCTAATGTCTCTAGGTCAGTGTTTTTCAACCTTGTCAACTTGAAGATGTCTGGACTTCAACTCCCAGAATTCCCCCGCCCGGCGAAGTCGGCTTGGGGACTTTTGGGGTTGGAGTTCGGGGCTGCTCACATT